TTTAGTGCATGGTGAAAGACATAGGTCTAGTTTTAGTCTTCAGCATGTGGAAAGCCAGTTTTTTCCAGCACCATTTCTTAAAGAGGCTATCTTCCTTCCAGTGAACTTGTTTGGCCCCTTTATCAAGGATAAGGTGGCTGAGTGTGTTTATAGTTGTATCTGCATCTTCTAACCTTTCCATTGGTCTTCAGGTCTGTTTTATTTGCCAGTACCATGCTGATTTTATCACAGTAGCTTTGTAGTATAATTTCAAGTCAGGAATTGTGATGCCTCCTGCCTTTCCTTAGTTTCCTAGGATTGCTTGTGCTCTTCTAGGCCTCTCCTGGTTCCCCTCCCCCTATTTTTAAAACAGGACAGTCCTTGTCTCACATCTCTCTGGTATGTCCTTGCAATGGGTTGGCCACTATTCACTGTGGCCTGGTCGTGTTGGGCTGGGTCTCCATTTCTAGCAAGCCGAGAGCACTGCCAGTAGATGGACCAGCTGCTCTCGCTCACCTCCTGGCCTGGCACCAGAAAGGGAGTCAGGGAAGTCGACAGTGCAGACACAGCCACCAGCAGGAGGAAATCTTTGGCGTTGCTCTGCATAAACCACACAACTGGGCAAATGGAGAACTGGACAGGTGGAAACGTCATTAGAAATCCAATGCAACAAAACTAAGTGGAGTAGTAGCCTTCCAAGTGTAAGGCCAGCTGCACGTCTCTGTGATGGAACATCTGCCTTGTGAGCAGTGACACTCACTGGTTACAGGTAGATGCGGTTGGGCTCTGTCAGTCTTAGCCTGAAGTTGCTATGATTGTGTCCATCTTACACACGAGGGAAATGAATCCTGGAGAGGCACTGACTTGTAAGCATTGAGCTGGAGTTAGACTTGAAAGCTGTGTGAACAGCTTTGAGATTCTCTTGGGAACAGTGCTTTGCATACAAAGTTCTCAAGTTTTAGTCTGAGGCTGGTGGGCTGTAAGTAAACCAGCAAAGCCATGGGTAAATAGAGATTGTCCATGGAGTTACTAACTCCTTTGGCTTCTTTCGGTAAGTTTCACTCCTGACGACCCACACTAACAGGTCTTGGAGTTGAAGACTTTTGTTACTTCAAGGAGAGCTGTGATAGAGCAGGATATATAGGAGGCATCCAGGAACGAGGTAGAGCTGGGACGCTGGGAGCAGGGCCCTAACAGAGGATTCTAAGGAATGCTGAGGTGTAGATCTTTTGAGTCTGTGGTCCCCAGGGTTCCTGAGAAGCACACTTCATGCCCCCTTACACACCCTCCCACCCAAGCTTACAACTTTTGATCCCACACAACCACATCTTGGGACACAACTGTGGAGATCTGTTTGGCCCAGTTAGGCCTCATTTACATGCATTTGCATTGTGCTTTCACTTCCTAGTGGGGTTTACCTGCCATGTTTGTTCTGACTAAGTCCATATAGGTTCAAAAGCTCCCTGTCTCAAAATGAGTGCAGAGACTCACAGTCCACTGGAAGGAAGCCCCATGAGTCACCTCTCTTGACCGCTCCCCAGCTTCTAGGAAAACAAAAGAGAAACCCGGCTTGGACCTTACTGCCATTACTACCACCAGTTCTGTCCACTTGGAACCTCCCCAAGTATACTATCCTTGCCAGTAACCTAGCCCCAGTCTCTCCAGGCACTTGGCCTTCCACCAAGCTGCACGCTTGGATCTCTCCCAGCTGTACTGTGCCTACAGCAGGCAGTTCCCTCTTCTGGCTCTGCCTTTATGGAACACTCCCAAGTGTCCTATCCTTATTTATAAAAGTGAGCCTAGTGTACAGGATGCTGTGCTCGTCCCTCAGTAAACATGTTTGCTAAAAACTATTGCTTTCCGACTCTGAGTCCTATTTATCAACCTCCCTGCAAATCTCCTCATGGAGGATTCAAGAGTAAAGACAACTACACAGTACAGAGCAGCACCCTGCCCAGGCTGACCCTGACTTTCTGCTAACAGTGGCACGAACCAACTTAATTGTCTTCATTCTGTATTTGCGGCCAGCCTGGTTGCTGGAGACATGTTCTTCCCACCTCAACTCAAGAAATAACGACCTTGAACAAATGTGCTGTGCTGGAGGAGGGCCCCTGAAGACGGGTGGCACAAGGAAGAGGAGGGGCAGAGGGCTGGACGCTCTACAGTGAAGGACAGAGATCCCACTCCCAGGAACGTGAAGGGTGGCTGTGCCGGCTCCAGACTGAGGCTGTGTACACAATCCAGACACTTTCCTTCAGGCCCAAGAGTTGCTTCTCTGTCCTCCGGAGACTATTAGGGTGTGTGGCTCTTTATGCGTGTGCACAAATTCCAACTACAATCTTGCTTCTCTCCCTGCAAATGTAAACCACCATTTTAATTATTATTTATTTTGCCCCACTCTGTGGTCTCTGGACTGCCATTTCATCATCATAAGTTGAACAATAATAGAAAAATCCCAGCAACAATAATGGTAATTACCTGTCTCATTGAGGTACGGTGAGGATAAAATGAGATAATGAGCTCAAAAGTGCTTTGCAATCCAGAAAGAACTATCAGTATACTGATACGGTGCTAAATGTCTGTCGTTATCACTGCTGCCCAGATGTTTGGGGCAGTCAGCTGACCTGGTCATCATGTGGATGTCACCCTCTTGTGCTGAAGGGAGTTTATGTTAGGTCAGTGATGATCTTGGACAGAGTAGTAGACACAGCCTTAATCAGGGAGAAGGCCTTAATGTCTCCCTTTTGGAGGAGACAGCTAATGTGTAATGAGAACTGATCATGTGCTTGGTGCTTTACATAATCATGTAATTAAAAATAAAACCCTTATTATTAAATCTAGTCATTATTATTTTTTTAATTAACTCTTTAAAGGTAAGCTGCTGACATGACATCCTAAATACACCATTGGGTCTTTCCAGTAAAAAGCACTTTTGTAAATAACTACTGTGCAATCTTCCACTTAAAAAGAAATCAGCACCAATACATTTCCATCAGTGCTGCGGATCCACAGACTCAGCTGCACCAGCACTGCCGCCATCATATCTTGGGTTTGGTTGTTGGGTCCCCTCCAAGTGGGACAGCAACTGTGAGCATTTCCCTTCCTCCATGACCTAGGAAGGCTTCTAGATTAGGACCTTTCACTGTGAAGACTGATGTGGCTCTGCCTGGTGGGTCCCTTGCCAAGCCCATGCTGTGTTTCTCCCCAGGAATTCCCAGAGATGATGTTCCACCCCATGCCTCCTGTGATGCTAAGTCCTTCTTTGCTATTAACCTCAAGTTGGGTTAGTCATATTTCTCCAGTCCAAAGCCCCTGTTTTTCCCATTATCATCAATAAATATTTTGTGGGGAAATAGTCTGGCTTGGTACCAATACACTGCTCCTCATTGAGCCTGTACTTACCAGCCTTAACAATTATTGATGATTTCCTTTATAATGGCCGCCTGCTCCATAAGGGCGACTTCCTGTTCCTAAGGGTAACTTCCTGTTCTATAAGGGCAACTTCCTGTTCCTAAGGGCAACTTCCTGTTCCCGTCCACATTTATTAGTCAGTGTTCACTGGAAGGAAGGGCTTTCCCTTCTCATTCACTTTTTCCTTTATTCCTTCATTGTGACCTTTCAGGTTTCACAGAGTTTCATTTTATCCACTGGGCTAACCATCATTATTTACTTTAAAGTTCAAATTTTCCAAGTTTAGCTAGTGGTACCCTTCAGGCTAGATCCTGGAACCTTTGACAAGTCCACATGCTTACTTTCTGACACAGCTACTCCAGACTCCTCTTGCACTTGTACCCATTTATCTATATCTTTACAGTCTCATAAATTCATGTTTTATTCAGTGACCATAACCTGACTCATCACTATCATTATCTTACAGTAGCTGCTCTTCACCTCCAGTCTGTCTTCCCTCAGACACATTCTACACATTCGCCAGGCCAGTCTTCTGACATCTTGGCATGACTACTGTCACTATCTTTTGACCTGGCAACTTTGAAGGAGCAGGAAAGATCCCAAACTTCTCACCTAGCATTCCACAGACCCTTCCCCTCCTCCCGGGCCAGCCAGCTCTGTACCACCCCATGTGTTTCTCGGTGGGTGTTCTGAGCTCCTCTCCTCCTCTGCTTCCCGCTCTCCCGCCTCCCCTCCTGCTGTATTTATCTGGAATCTACATCATGCCAGACACCAAAGTAGACACAGAGAACAGGGCGGTGACTGAACGGAGTCCCTGTCATCGTGGAGCTTGTCCCAGAGAAAGAAGCAATCCCACAACCGATATAAACCGGCCGGGAGAAGGAATGAAGTAGGGAGCGGGGACAGCGGCGTGATGCGCAGCTGAGGCTGTGTCTGTCTCTCTGTGAGCGTTGCTTTACCCGGGTCACATCCACGTCTCTGCACGTGTCATTCCTTGTTGATATTTGAGCTTGAACTTCAAGATTTCCGCCTCCTAAAGGGAACAAATCTGTTTCTAAAATACTGTGACACAGACATGGTGTTCATGGGATGATCCAGTCTTTCACAGGGTGAAAGTTCTTACAAATAGTATGCTTGTTTGCATACTGAACATGAAGCTTCCTTTGTACAAAACTGCTTACTTTTGCTTTTAAAAAATAAGCAAACCTCCTTTCTGTAGTGTTCAGTGATTAGCTGGTCAGGTTTTTTACGTTCTAGAACTTCAGTAATTTACACATTCCCCATTTTTATTAGTGGCAAAATAATTTGTTAAAATCTAATTGTAAGAAAGGTTGAGCTTCTATCCTGTGATTCTATTGTATTGGATCATCATGTGCAAAACTACTAGTCAGTCCTTTTCTGTGTCTGTATATGCTCTAAAACTTCAACTATGTTAATAGAACTTGGAAAAAAGTTACCTTATATAAAGTAGCAAGCCTTACCCGGTAGTTATGTTTGTTTCCTTGGCATTTTTTTTTAAAGTTTAAAAGTGTAATTAAACATATATTTCGTGATTTTTTAATAGTGTTTTAAAATTCTTTCCCCTCTCTTTTTCCCAGTTACATTCATGAAGATATGTTTAGATACTGAATGTTTTCGTTAAAGGCACAATTAACCGTATTGGTTGTACTTTGAAGACAGACCTTTAAAAACAAAAAGAATTTAAAGCAAACAAAAGAGATTTTCCCCTCCTGACGTCTCGTTGTTTGCCCCGACCGCGAGTCATTTCTTCCTGGGAACATGCATGTTAGAGCATGTTATGGTGAAGCGATACAGTGTGATGCTCGGCACTACCTACGTGGTTCTGGGAGCAGGGCGGACCCCCGCTCGTGTTCTCTGCTTTCTGTCTCCTCAGCCTGCTCCGCACCGTAGATGCTGTCAGTTTGACGGAAAGCATAAACCGAGGACCCGTGGAGACGAGCTTGCTGGAGGTGCAGAGCCTGGCCTCTTCGCAGCCTCTGCTGGGGTTGCGCCAGCTCCAGCTTCTCCAAGTCTGACACCTTCCTTCCTGCGAGGGTTGTATTTTGTAAATTTCAGAGACAGCAGATGACTGCCTGGTTCACATCATATGCCAGGGTCAAATGCGCTTGACGGTTGTTTCTCACAGATTTTATTCCCTGATGAATTCCAGAAACACTTTTTTTTTTTTTTTTAAATGGGGTGGGGAGAATCACTGTTAGAATTTGCAAAAAGCAAGGAAAGAGCCGGGCGTGGTGGCACACGTGTGTAATTCCAGCACCTAGGAGGCTGAGGCAGGAGGATCGTTGCGCGTTTGAGACCAGCCTGGGCTGCAACGTGAGCTCAAGGCCAGCCTGAACTCCATAGCGCGACACTCTCTTAACAAGACCAAAAAAAAAAAAAAAAAAAAGCAAGGAAAAAAAAGCGTGGGAGGCTTATTACCGACAGCAATCTTCTTCTCCCTCATTTCCTTCCTTTCTTCCCTGATCTTTCTTTCTCTTTCTCTTTCTTTCTTCTTCCTTCCACATAAAAGCGCCTTGGGCCTCCTCTACCTGCTAGCTCTGCTTTGCAGACCGCTGTGGACCCCGCGGCCTCGCAGCCGGCCGGGACGAATTGCACCCTCCGTGCTGTAGGTGGCGCTGCGCACCCAGCGCACCGTGGTCCTCACGGCCCAGGCTTTCCGTTCCGAGAAGGCGTGGAGTCTGGCATCTTTTCAGTTAAACTTGATATATCCGCTCAGCTTCTGTGGAGCGAGTCTGAGACACAGATTAGCCGGTTGCTGACCCTGAACGGAAGGTCAGCCATTCTGCGCTCCCGGGCAGCCTCCCCGCGGGCTGGCTGGGGTTCCCACTGGACGCCCCGAGGCGTTTCCTGGAACCTTGGCCTGGGAGTCTTTTCTGGAAGCAGAAGCGACACTAGGGGCGCGTTCCAGACCCTGGGGTGCGGGAGCTGGGCTCACGGAACCCAGCCCCTGTGGGCAGCAAGGTGGACGGCGTTGATTTCCAATGCCGGCGTTGCCCTTTGCAGCGGTCTTGCACGAGGCTTCATTGTCCCAGCGGTCCCCGTGCCAGGTCTCCTCCTTTGTTAGGCACCAGCGTGAGCATCAGGGTGCTCCGTGATTGTGCATCACAGATCACCCAGCAGGAGAAAACTGGGTGCTGAGCGCCTCTTTGTTAGCCCAGAGGCAAGATCTCAGATTCCTTAATTAAACTTGCAGGTTTAGGGTTCCTGAAAATGAATTTGTGTTTTATTTTTACAGAATGTGTACACGTAAGAGCGAGAGAATTACAGAGCCCCTTAGAACTGTGGGCTAGATGACCTCCCAGTATATTATAATTCTAATTCCCTAAACACATTTACTGAAGGCATGCCCGGCTTCGAGGGTCTCTTAGATTTTCATGCGTCGAGGCGAA